GCGGTGTGATACAAAAGTAAAGATGGACGGCTTGTTTGTTCTGGTTAACGATAATTGATAAGAGTTTGCGCTAGAAACAATATCGTATGCAAATTCGGCGGATTGAAATTTTTCACTCGCCCTGATAATACTCATGCAAAATTTAAAACAATTTTGTCTTCTTCTCCCAACCTTTTAACATGCTCTTTTCTTATACAACACCAGCAGTTGCAGCCAGCTGGAATTAACTAGACACGGAGTTATTATAATCAACCTAATAATTTTGTAATTCTCATAGTACTTAAACATCGTTCTTGGAAACATTTTAACCTTACCATGTAGGAAAGCGATACTTTCCAAAGGTTAGTAAAGCGTGTCTCTTTCGGCACATATATGAATTTTGATTTCTGCTGAGACTGGAAGAGTATTAGGCTATCATTATTGAGGGTTCCGATCAGGGAGTTCCGAGTGTAAGCAAGGGGACATAAATTAAAATTACTAAAAACATTGGTTTGTTAATTTTTTATTAGGGCAAGCTAAGAAACGATTTCGTTGTCAGGATACGTTCTCGACAAAGTAGGCACCTACTTAAGAGACTTAATGTCACGAACAAGAATTTTAAAGAAAACATCAACTGCCGAACAGTTATTAAAACGGTTCAAGTATCGCCATATTAGTCTGGACCGTAAGATTCGTTGTCAAAATAATGCGCAGTTCAGCAGATCGATCATGGCGGACACTCAAGTCAGATTTAAATAAACAAATTTCTCTTTTAAGACTTTGGCAATTATTCCGCGAGATTTAATCTTTCCAGTCTAACTATCTCCCAAAGATTTAATAATTCATTCAGTCTTCGACCATGATGAAAAAATAAGGAACTCCACGCAACCTCGAAATAGATGCAAATGACGGCTCAAGACGTCAGTGAAAGCGTCAGCAAAAAAGGAATTTGCGTTCTTTCATGGCTAACTTAATTTTACCTCGTTAAGAGTCGTCCAATATGTCAATGTAGGTTAATTTTCGTGGAGTTGAATTCCAGACTCGAAGAGTCGCATTAGGATCAGTTTTTGCGTCGGTAGTCTGACAGTCGTGCAGTGCGCGTCAAAGAAAAGTACCAAAATGCGGAAATGTCGGATGCACATGCAGAGCTGTTGCTTTTTTGCTCACGAAAGCAAATGCTTTTTAACATTCTCAATGCGATGGCTGCTCCCGAGACTGCTTTCCTTTGAAAACTGATAAAAAACTATACAGTTAGTCGCTTACCATATAAAACGACAGTTATCGAAAACGCACTATACTTTGCTCTCCCCAAAGCTCTTGGCTCTCTGGCAAGCGAACCATCTGATAGAAAATCCCCAAAGCTCAAACTGATCGCTATTTCGGGACCACACAGCAGATGACAATAGATCAGTTTACCGTGGCGTAAGAAGGATTTTTGTTCCAAAAAAGCGGACTAGTACAAAAGATAGATCGCCCGTCTGTTGGTGTTTGTCTTCCTGTTTGCTTACGAAAAACAAAGCTATGTCAGTGTTAGCTTGTTAAATACCAGTTAAGTGAAGTCTCGGGTCCCCTGCATCTTGTCCACAACGGAGATTTTAAAATTTCGGCCAGAAAGGCGAAGAAACTCAGCGAGGTCTGTTTCGACGTACAAAACCGTCCGTTTTCAATAAGAGCAAGTAAAAACCTGTACATCAAAAGATGAATTTTATTTAAACGAGAAATGAAATAATTCCCTTCATACCGAAGGCTTTGCACTTGGCCTCAGTTCGGTCTCGCTTTGAAAAGGGGGCCCAGGCCAACTGGGAAATGATCACACATGATATTTTTAACGTGGGTGGAGCTGCGCCGCTAAATATCGAGTAAAAAAGTGAAGTTGAGCTCTCGAGCCTGATAGATTGTTAATAGGATCGACTCAAGATATATACGTTTGAAGATGTGTGCAAATCTGATGTTTGAGATCGAGGACAAAAGCCAAATTCTATTCATTGCACTCTTAGCTTTGTCTGGTCTGAAAGAACCGTCGCTTCTTCAGGCCGATAGTGTCTAATCACTAAATTTACATCTGGACTGAAAAGAAGACGTTTCAACTTGAAAGAGACTTGTACCAAGTTCGTTTCTTTCAATGGCTTCTTACGAAAAAAGTTTCGACCTTTGAAATTATTTTTATTGTCTGAGCATTTCCCTAATCTCCTCTTCCTTTTTGGTCTTGGAGTTGTACTTTTTTCCTTTGATGTTAGGAAAAAAATTAGACAAGCTGGCAGTAAAAAAGCTATGTCTATTATTATGGGTTAGTACACTGTTGTAACCAACTATTCTGCTGAAATATTCATTAATCTCTTTGCATTTCTCTCGAAACCGCCATAATTGTTCCTTTCAGTCTTCTCTGCCAGTCCCCTCAGAAATAAAGATCAACCAAAATATGCCTTACAGTGCATCAGACGAAATATTCATCTCGGTGACCATTGATGGATCCCCTCGGAGTTGGCACGAACGAAATCTTTTGTTTAACTGGACTGAAGTAAGAACACAATTCACCATTCCAAGGAAAGATTTATTTTAAACTTTTTTTCAAGCGTATCTAAACCCACAATGATACTGAACTACCAAAAATGCTTGTTTTCAGCTAAATGAGCTGTAAATTAGTTTGAGATATTAATGAACTAGACTTGCAAACTAAACAATTAAATAAAACAAGAAATAATTGTTCTCTTTCTGCAAGTCGATGATCGAATGGAAAAAATGTTAAAAGTTACGACTAGGGTAGTTAATCGGCAGTCGCCCGTGACAGCTCGAAAATTTCTGCCTTTGTGCCACAAGAACACCAGATTAGGATGCGTTCTGACGAACGCGATTAGACTGTGAAGATTTGCCCACTGTGCCACTGGCTAAACTTGACTTATATGTCTTATATGGAGACCGGACGTTCAGCACTGCTGAACTTGCCTCTTAGTATACCCAATTCCCCATCAGTAGCTATTTCAAGAAAAAAAAAAGAAACATTTTGATAACTTTTTAATTTTTTTAAAGAAGCCTATGACTTTTAACTATTATTTCTAGTAAATGTATCATCATGGTACTTTTAGATTTGTTTAGATTTGTAACTTTTATTTGTTGTGTACATGTAGTAATATTTTTAATTTTTTTAAAATAATGTATTTATCTCGGAATAACTTTTTATTTAGTTTTTATGTTAGCATGATCATTTAAAGAGCTATATATTAGAGCAGCTGAAGAGCACTTGTCTAATAGATATAAGTTATTACTATCATTTCCTCTATAAACCAACAAGCAAAACCAAAAGCTAAATGAAAAAAAACAAGCAAAAATCAAGTAATTTTAGCTGTTATTATAATCTTTCTAATGAAAGTATTGTTGCACCCAAGTTCAACCAGATTTTTCTACAGTCTGGCTTTCGGCGTTCGAGCAGCTCCTAAAAAAGCTTGACCTTTAATCCATGAACTGCATTCGCGAATTTGTTCAGACTAATGTTTTGTTTTACCTCCATCAATCTGCTCTCAGAAATTTAGTGCAAAGTCGATAATCTGTTCTATGGTATAATACTCGAAATTTTATTCAGGACACAGCTAACTGAGCTGAAATGAACATTACTTTATCATTTAGATCTCAGTGTTTTTTTGTGTCGTTTACTTGGTAAAAACTTAGTCTCCGACTACTTCTCGCTTAACTTATATCCCCGTGATGAAACGGGTTGCATTTAGTTTTAAAGCATCTTTTATTTGAAAATGGTGTCATCACGTCAAGGATTTACGTCTCTAGTTATACAGAGTTTAATTTACAGGGGCGTAGCCAGGTTTTTCAAAGGTGGGGGGGGTCACAGAGGCTACTCACCAGATTGTCATGTCGACCTCCACGGATTATACCACGTATTCTCGCGGCATGAAGGCCCATATTAACTAAAGACAAGAGCCGTTGACGAAAATACTTTACAAAAAAACACATTTTAAAAAAGTGGGCTTTTCAACAACGGCCTTTACGGCCAAGATATTGTCATGGCGTTTTCGCCACCTGAATATTGTAGGTTGTTTGCTCAAAAGAAGGCCTACCAAGGAGGGGTCACGGGCACCCCACGACCCCCCACCCCCCTAGCTACGCCCCTGATTTACATACATTTCTTCGCATACAAATCGTTACTCAATACCGATAAAGCCGCTATAATAGGCATACAAAAAACTATGAAATACGTTCCCAAAAGCAAAGTTTCATCTTCTATTTAGATTTGCAAAAATTCATGGAAGACCAAACTCGCGCACAAGCCAATAATCACTCCCATCAACGGTGAAAAGGGCGGTACAATCTCAGAAATGACTTTTTTTTTTTTACATTAATTAGTTTCCCATTGATGAACGTGTGAGATGAAAAAGAGGGAGAATGAAAACCTCTATGGATCCACAGTAAAATTATACTAAAGCAGAAAGGTCCAGTTTATTTAAATTATAGCTGTTTACACCCTGAAGGGGTCAGAGAATGACAGAGTTTCTGCTGTCACGAGAAACCATCTTTAAGGTAGGGCAGAAGGTACTTAAAAGACTATTAGCATTCGGTGCAATGTTGGTTCTTTTTTAACCTAGTAGACAAGTTAAACCGGTCCCTGATATCTAAAACTTTTACCACGCATTGACAAGTTTTATAATCATGTATCTTGTTTGGTTCAAAACGCCTATATTCGCTTTCCAGAGGAGCTGAGCTGGATTTGAAAATCTGAGCGCTCGAACACTTTTGCATCTAATTGGCAATGTGTAAAACGACGGTTTTCAAAATAACGCCATTCCTGAATGCTTTAGTCGACATTGCTACGTTCATCCATCGACTATTAAAAACTCGCGTTACTTGCATAAGGAATCTAAGCATTCTTTAACTTTCCTTTCCGTTTGCAGATTGCTCAAGCCGTGCTCATTATTAATAAACATGATACATTACGTTAAGATAGACAGAAATACAAGCTATGGCACAGATTCCTTTTTGCAGGATTTTCATTTAAATAAAGTACACAAACTCTTAGTGATCCAAGCACATCTTTATTGCTACTAATCGCCGCGATAATAAATCTGTTTTCTAACATTTCAAACAATCAACTAAAATATTACCGTTATTGTATCATTCCCTTAGCGTAAGCACACTTCTTAATGGATAGACAGCCAAGTTTAAAGTTTCTTTGTTTTTCTTAGTTTAGCAAATGAAATGGTTTAGTGCATTGCTACGCAAAATCTCATTTATACTTGGACCTTGGCATTGTGCTCTATACCCACTTGTACAGGGCGCTGTTTATGTTGTGCTTCTGGCCATTGTAGTAGTTTGCCACTGCAAGGTAAGTATGACCTTTGTACTCAAATGACGTCATACCAAAAGCCCCGTGGGTTGGAATCTCCTGGTACTTGATGAACTGCGCTCCAGAGGCCTGGTACACAACTGACTTGGTGTTATGCTTCTGACTATCACCATAGTGATTAGCCACACCAAGGTAAGTTTGAGCGCTGATCACAAATGGAGTCCATGCGATGGCTCCCCGAGTAGGAATGGACTGGAACAGGACAAACTTCTTACCATTCCACTTGTAAATGAAAGAATCGGTGTTGTACTTACTTCCAGAGTAGTGGTTGGCAAAAGCGAGGAAAGTGTGACCGTTGATGTTAAAAGACTTGACATCGCGCACTCCGTAAGTCTGAAGAGACTGCAGCTTAACAAAGTGACCTCCTGACCATTTAAACACTGTGGACTGAACAGAATACTTGTGTTGGGAGTTGTAATAGTTTGCAAAAGCGATGAATGTGTCACCGTTTATCACAAACGCCGTACATCCCAAGGCACCTTCAGTTGATATGTCTTGAAATCTGTTAAACTTGCCGCTGCTCCATTTGTAGATAACTGACTTTATAGAATGGGTACTTCCGTCATGGTGATTTGCTACTGCGAGATAATTTTTTCCATGTATCTTGAAGTACGTGAAGTGGCTTGCTCCGTTTGTTGACCATTTCTGAAAGTCGACAAACAGCTTTCCATTCCATTGATAGACTTTAGAATCCAGCCGGTGAGTTCCATCGTAATGATTAGCCACAGCAAGGAAATGTTTGTTAGCAATAGAAAAGTACTCGAGGCCATGAGCTCCTCTTGTCTGCAGGGTCTGGTACAAAGACAATCTTCCAGTCGAGTTATCCATCTTGTAGATTGTGGAACCTGTCTTGTATTTTTTAATGTCCCCATAATAGTTGGCAAAAGCAAGAAACAAGCTTCCATCAATGGTGAAATGTTCCACATCTACTGCTCCTCGGGTTGGAAGATCTTGAACTTTCTCAAGAAAGTGGAATCCAATAGAGCAATCTTTCACAAGAAAAAAAATGTTGAAAATCTTTATTATCAAGCAATTACTATAAAAAACAACTAGAATAAATTGAAAAAATAAGGTAGAAACGTACATGTAACTCATGTGTTGTGTTTTTGCAATTTTAATGTGAAGGAGCCACGTTTTCATGAAATTAAAATTCAGCAACTCTTCTTTTCACTGAATCAACGTACATGTACATCGTAGACAACAGTAATAAATAATATTCATACCGGCTGAACAGCACTTCGATTTGCTCTAAAAGGCAAAATAAAAAGATCAAAATATAATTAAATAACAAAGCTAACAATCTGATAATGTAGTTATTTATGGAAACTATAGGGTTTAACATATGTACCTTCAACTTTTTCTATCGGAAATCTCCCTTGACCGGACATTCAGGGATGTAAAAAGGCTCCCGCTGTCCGAATGACATTGTGCTAATCTAATGATAGCATCATGTTTGGTGTCAGTAAACATAGACTACGAGCATTATTTTGTTCTTGTTTCCTTAAATTAGTGGGACATGCGAGCTGACTTGTACCAGTAAAAAGCTCGATTGTCACTTGTCATGGCCTTGCCGCTCACTTGCGCACGCTCTTCCCTTTAAAAATAACAGGAAAAAGAAGATGCAAGACGTATATCAAGTCTATGGTAATTTAATTGACGGCTTATCGTATAAGAATTATTAATGCATAAGGGTTATAGAGAGTGAAAGTCTGGAAAATGCTTTGAGACATTTACCTTTGTATCACACGTTCCCGGCATTCCTTTTTGTCCTTGTGATCCCTTCTCTCCTTGTGATCCTTTGCCACCACGAGATCCTTTCTCACCCTTTGTGAAGAAATCAAACGAAATTATTAATGATGAAGATCTTTTAATATTCAAGAAGATAGCTAAAAGATCTCGGTAATTATACGAACTGATCGCAACTTTGTCCTTTAGCGATACAAAAAGAAAAAAAAAATAATGAAGATTTTAACAGAAGCATATAACTCCGTTCGGGGTTATATGCTTCTGATTTTAAAGATCATGCGGTACTTGTTTTACATCAGAAAGGAATCCATAGTTTTGGAGAAATCAATTTGACCTAAACCGAGTAACATTTACAACTGCACAAAAGCAAGACTACTAAAGAAAATTGAATGAGTCGTTTGTCGCTCTAAGGATAGAGCATGCGCACTTCCATTTTGTTTTGGACTCTGAAAATTAGTCATTTCTGTCTTCAACTTAAGAAGTATAAAGTTACGCTTACCTTAACACCACCATTACTGTTTTTATCCATTCCTGGTTCTCCTTTCTCCCCCTACAACAGAAATAATGATAACCACACAAGATAATAAATAATTAATAATAAAGCTATTGAACCGTAAGAAAATAGTGACAACAATGATGATGAAGATAATAGATAAGAAATAGAGATAATGAAAAGTACGAAAAAAACGTGAAACTAATGATCAGATGAAATTAATGAAAAAGGACAGGAAACAGGCCGGAATAAACTAATTTAAAGGCCAAGCCTGCAGATTTTAAGGTGACTAAAGACGGTTTGATAATCATTACCATTCGTTGGGATGTTATTTAAGACTCGTTGCTGGTTACAAATATAAAGCTCAAATTTGACAAGGGCAAAATATATTAAAGACATTACATTCATTATTAAAGTTAAAAGTAAGATTTCGATCGTTGCAACACGGACGGTTGAAAAGAAACCTAAAATTTTTAAATTGTTAGGTTTACTCAAAATTCAGTCCCTGGATTTCCTTACTATTAGTAAGTCTCATATTTTAAAAGCACCTTAACCAAATTGCAACAAACAGTTCTTGATATTTTTAAGAATTCAAAATAGCTTTCGCGTCACAAAATTCATGTGTTTGTTGTTTATTTGAGGCTTTCATTGACTAAAGTACGACATGAAGAGGATTTCTGCTAAATTTCGTTAAATCTTAATGGGTAGATTTTAAAGTAAAATTATTGTCGTTTGTTTACATTGCATTTGAAAATCAACAAATCAAAGACAACTGGCAAAAACTGACAACTATAAGTGAATGGAATCTTTTTATTTTTGATAATAAGAGCAGACAGTTACCCAAACTTTTGTAATCATCTATGCAACGTTAGTTAAATTATCCTTATTCGTATTTCTATTATTTTTTTTTCATTTTTTATTTTCTGCATTATTAGTCTCTTTTAGATGTGAAAGCGTTAAAGAGTATTGAAGTTGAAGTAGAAAACTTCTAAGCATTCTTCTCAACCTGTCCTCGCACTTTTTTCTTCAAAAGCTCATTGGCTGCATATCTCCTCATGATTAAAAACTACTTGGTCAGGTGTTACGGAGCACGAATTTAACATGCATAGTAAATACATAAAGCATTTCCAGAGAAATTGTTTTCAGCAACCTTAGGGTTAAAATAAGGAACAATGTTATGGGGACCTCTTTCTCTGGGGAGAAGTTGTACTTTATACTTCGAATTTTATGATCTTCACTCTTTTTTAATTTTTGAGCCAGTTTTTACTTTTAATCTAGCAATAAATTAAATTAATTACTTTAGTAACTTTAATGAGGGACCCACTGAAAACCGCTATGGAAAGTTGGGCTCCTTCTTTAAACATTGTTATGAATATTATTATTGTTATTATTATTACTATTATTATTAATATTATTATCATTGTTATTTTTATTACAAAATGCTGAGAGAATAGCCAGTTTGCTTGTCTTTACTGTGGTGGAGATCAAAATAAAGTTAACTGGTCTGGTTATGATTTTGCTGATTTTGCATTGTTCAATATATTCAATGACGTTTTATGGAAGGATATGGATCTAGAAACTAAACACTTCCATTTAAAGGGCAGAACATGTCAATAATACCTTAATGCCAGCATTTCCATCTTTCCCTGGTATCCCTGTTTCTCCTTTTTCTCCCTAACATAGATATTTACAAATTAATAAGAAACCAAAATAAGAAACCAATAAGAAACCAAAGCTGTGAAAACTATGACTCTTCTCGTGGCCGTTAGAGGAAAGTTAATAGTTAACAATATTAGAAACGTGAGACGAAACTTGAGCGTCTTATTTACGACGCGCTATACAAGCAAACGCATTTGATAACCAGCAGTGTTAACCGTCTCTGATCGGATTCAAATCCCTTTCAAAACGAGTCATAAAGACACAGGAACAAACATTAAGGTTAAAAACATATTATTATTATTAGCTAATACCGCGTAAATATATATAATTATTCTATTAGCTAATACAGCGTTCGGGTTCCCTGTGTATATTAGCTTCTGCCTCAGCAGCCTCAGTGGTAGTCTCCCTCGCAGCCGTTTTTAGTATCGTCACGCTACGCTCCTCCTCCTCCTCCTCCTCTGGGGAGAGCATTGCGTGACGATACTAAAAACGGCTGCGAGGGAGACTACCTCAGTGGTTAATAAAGAGAAAAATGTTGTCACGTGGGTGAATGTGGTAGGTGCAGGACCACTTCATGGACATACATGTTCCACTAAAAAGGAGTTTATTTATTTTCACTGGTTTTGGTAGTTTAAAGTATAACCAAAACAGCTATTTGAATTTAACATTTGGTCCGAGTTTATCTACAGGCACTTTCCATTCAACAAAAATTCCAGTTTGAAATTTTGGAAATTCCATGTGCCCAATGGAACAGTACATTCCGGTTGCACATGTAAAGACCTGACCTGAGCCACTACGCTTTTGGTTATTGTTCTTGCAAGCAGGATATAAAAGCGCAGTACTGGGGATAACACTTTTGTCAAATGGAAAGGGAGATTTCGGTCGGACAGACTGGAATTACCGCACCGGTCAAAGAGGACCACCTTCAAAGCTAGTCCCGAATATTTCGGTTGGAACAAACCAAAATGGTCCGTTCCATTTTGATGTACAAACCAAAATTTCCCGAATTATTGGTTGAATAGAAATTAATGGCTTAATGTATCTTAACCCAATTGCCCTTGAACCCCCTATAATTGCCCATAAGGATCCACATCCTTTGTATCACTTGCTACGCAAATGCCCGAACTTCAGAAGCTGATATTTTGCATCTGGAACAGAAGGCCTTGAAGCGCACGACCTGTAAACGGCTTTTTGGTATGTTTTAGCTCTTTATTACCGGACAGTGATCAGAAAATGGTTCTACAAGCTTCAAAGCACTTTTCAGCAAAATTCCAAGGGGTAAATGGGTTAACTAGTACCTTAATAATGTTATAATAATTTGGCCCCAGGCCCCTCGGGAGTGGAGTGGGGGGAATTATCAGGCTCACAAAGACTTTTTCAAGGCCTGACACTAACGAAAAAATAATAGACATATTTTTTAAAGGGGCACTCAGCTGTTACATGGTTGTCACAGACATCAATTTCATACTTTTCAAAAATAATAATGATTGATTCCCTGCAAGACTTCCACAACATTTCGATGACATTATATCGCCAACATTTAAAAGTGTGAACAAGACAGGCATCAGTATATATAAAAAATGAAAGTGTGAAATTACATTTTAAGATAACAAATAAGAAAATAGGGAGTCGCCAAATGTGTGAAGAACAGGTTCTTGAAAAGGGGTTACCCAGAATCATTGCTTGGATTTTCTTGCCATATACTGTCAAGAGATTTGGGGCAAATCAGGTTGAAAGCATATGACTGTAAAAAAATTTACTTGAATTAGTGCCGCCCTTGAGTAAGCACGGCATAAACTTGGGACAAAGATTTTATAGTAATACGCACCACCAAATAATCAAAATCAAAAGACATTCTTTGTTTGTTTAAGACAGCAAATAACAATATCATACTAAATAAAAAAAAACAATTCTTTTAAATAAACGCCACCCTCAAATAAGTGCCGAATTTGAGGCGTGAAAACTTTAATAAGTGCAGCGGCACTTATTTGAGTAAATACGGTATGCTTATTAATGACCGCCCAATTTTGAAATATGTCCTTTCAAAATAAGCCTTGTACCAAGGGAGGATAAAGGGGACAGAGAAGGCATCCCCCATACAGACACTATTCCATAGGTAATTCGTCTCGAGTTATAATTTAGAATCGGGATAAAGTTATCTCGCACGCTGCGTGGATGTTTCGTGGAGGTTTCGCTTGACTTAATGCCATGGAAAACACTGTCGGGCAAAAGGCAATGAAAGTGTAAAGAGATCGAGAGCATTCCTGAATGTTGAAGCGAAATGAGTCGGCGCTCACCTGGGAAAAGGGAAATTGCTAGACTCTTTGACAACCCGTGAAATCAGTTTAACTCAAAGTTGTCGTAACGTAAGTGTTTTGATAACATGAGAATTTCGCCGGTCTATTGAAACCGGTCATTTTGTACAATAAAGCAAGTAGAACGCCAAGTGTTATTTTTGTTGAATAATAAAAGACTAATAAAAGAATAAATATCAAACCAGAAATTGCTCTCTTCAAACTGTAAGTTATAAATGATCCTGAGAGAATATTCAGTGTGTTAAGGATTTCCCTGCTGTACTGTTAGCTCTATACAAGAGAGGAAGGGCGATTCTTTTTTAATATCCATTTCGCTGACACAGCTTTAGCAGAAATCTCCTTGTAGTCGTTTTCGTTGACAAACTGAATAGCAATATCGCTCTCTGCGTCTTCCGCCATTTTGTTCTGCGTCAATTCATGAAGGACGCGTGGCTCTGAGCGGGGGTCATCTACGTGGAACACATTCCCGCTATGTGATTGGCTGTTGTCTAATCCCTCTTGAGATCTGTGGTGTTAAAAATAACTCGAGACGAATTACCTATGGAATAGGGTGTGTCACAGGAGAAAATAACAGATTCCCAATATTGGATATTTTAGGGTATTTAAAGAATACCCACAAAAATCCCAAATTTGGCAAAGTGAGACAAGTCCCATCCACGGAATTTCCAACCAAGTTCCCTGATTGGGACTTGTCTCACTCTTCCAAATTTGGGATTTTTGTGGGTATTCTTCAAATACCCTAAAATATCCAAAAATGGGAATCTGCTATTTTCCTGTGTGTATGGGGGATGCCTCCTCTGTCCCCTTTATCCTCTCTTGATTTGTACACATGCATGTCCTTTTTAAAGGGACACAGTCAGCTGATGCACATGCGCATTAGATACCATTTCTTTGCTGATTTGCATATCACAAATTGGCATGAAACAGAAAGTAAGAAGCGTGCCGGAATAACTCTAAACAAACCTTAAACTAGTTACAAGCCAAATCCTGATTATAGACCCTAGGCCATATCAGTCGCACTCATCTTTTTATATACCATTGAGAATTCATCAATGGATTTTTCCAGGGAAAGCCAAACATCAACGAATACTTCCAAATTTGAAAATCGGTAGAGGTGAGAAATTGCATGAAGTTTGAATCATTGTCGAAGGTTCAAGGTCAAGAAAGCTTGATTTTCCAAATATTTATAACAATTATTTGCTTGCCGATGTTACTGATTTATTTCCCTTGTTATTTTGGTAAATGAAGGCGATTAATCTCCCGGCCGGTGCCTACGCATTTCTCACCTCTTCTGTTCATAAGGTTTTATGAAGGAATTTTTATTTGTCCAATACACAGTGACATAACGTTAAAAAGTTGACCAACTATTTTTGTATATTAAGTCTATAATTTGTAATTTTTTCAGTCGTGTATTCATTTTTGCAAACTATTACCCTAAAAGTTGGTTCAGTAGCACAAAAACATTTAACTAATCTATCAATTTTTTAAAAATAATTTCATATCTTACTTTCTTTCTCTGGAAAGAGAAGAGCTCAAATGCCCAAAACCTCTTTATGGCAAGTTGTTATCTTCACACTACAGAGAACTTTTTATTGGAGACATACATGTAAAGCTCTCTGGCTCATTCAATTTGAATTACTGGTTTACTACAGGCTTTCTTTAACCGACAGATAGCCAAATATAGATGGCTTTGGTGCACAGCATTAATGGTGTTATGGGACTTGAATGTTATCAACTATTTTACAATAGCTGTTGATAATGAACTCTCAAGCAAAGAGGAAGCAATATGTTTTAACAAAATAAATGCCAACCTTAATCCCACTGCCATCTCGTCCATCACGGCCATCTTTTCCTGTGTTCCAGACAATAAACAAAAGTGACAAAGTGAAGCCTTGTTATTTAACAAACCTGATCTAACGTATAACAAAGTCCTTGGTATAATGAACTATTTTCTTTACCCTGGTATTTAAATAGTAAAATAATTATATGAAAAAAACCTCAATGAGGCTGTGCTCTACTGGGCAGCACCCAGTCAGTGGCCCCTAAAACCTTACTTTTGACCTTGAGCAACTAGGAAATCTTAGCTTTCCCATAAAAATCTGATGCTTGGCTCCCTGGATTTCACATGTTTAGAGCACTGGGCTCCCAAGTTTCAATTTTTCTTGGAGCACTGGCTGAGCCTTTGATTAGTAACATTACAAGCTGGGGTACAACACAGACAAAAAGCTTCAACAAGGGGAATGACAATTATTAAAAGAAGGATTTTAAATGGTTAAGATTTATTTTGAGAATAATAATTATTCTCAAAATATATCTTATTACAGTATGCCTGCCCACTGACTAACACACTATGCATGAGTTTCATGCATGTGGACTTATTTAGACATTGATTTCACTCGTGCTCACACTGGACAAACAATTCCAGAGAAATTGTTCTTTAACACATGATTAAGGACAAAAATTTGATTCAATTTCTCTTTGACACTTGGTATCAACATGCTTAAGTTGTTGCCTTTGAGATAACTTTAGAATTGATCTCACAATTGATTTGATTTGACTCAGAAAGAGTTGGCAGGTACAGTCTGTATTTGTATAAAAGGATAATAATATTAGTAAAATTATGTAGATCACCATTCACTCCATCACGTCCATCTTTTCCTGCAATTACAAAAAACAACACTTGATTATATCTGGGTGGCTAATTATTTCTAAATCATCTAATGCTGCATTAATGCAAATGGTAATGAAGGAAAATTGCTGCATTTTAATGTGACTCACCATGTTGTCCATCCTTTCCATCTTTGCCTTAAATTATTAAAACAAAATACAGGTATTAGATTAATGAAACACAACTGAACTAACTTACCATCCACACAATATAAAATCTCAATCCAGGAAAATTTTAACCTACACGTTCTAAGAAGATTTAATTTTGGTTTTTGATATTAGCTGGGTTTTTTCCATATCCTGCATGGAAATATTATCACTTTGTCTAAAATCAATTTTTACAATAAATTGTAAACTCACCATCCTTACAGCAACCAGCTTGAGGTACAACTTTACAGCTTTTAGACTTTGCTGCAGATCCATTAGTCTGATAGATTGGGAAATTTAACATACTTTATCACTTAAAGAAGTGGAAAATCTAGATAAATGATATGAAAACATTCATACATTCATACTGTAGCCGGAGAAAATCCCCGGCCCCTGTCTCTTGATGACAGCCCTGCCTAAGCTTGCAAACAACACAACAAATCTGGGAATCTGTTTCAATCTCTTTCCTTGCATTCATTTTTTCCTTTTGTTTTTTTTTTTCACAACCTGTTTTGTTGCCCACTTAGTGTCTTTCTTTTGTGTGGAGTTTTGGCTGGCTACCTTTTCAGGAAAAGGGCAAAGAGTAGCAGGTAAATAGCAAAATTGGTGGTGGATTTTCCCCCAAATGTTGATTTTTTTAGTGTACATGTAAAATTAAAGATCTGTCAGGATTGGTCAAAATTTCCTAAATGAGGTACCAGCGGAAAGATCTATCCTTGCTGATTTTGCTATCAATGGGTCCACGAAGGAAAATGTTCATGGTTCAAAAATTAGGACCAAAAAGACCAAAACAGTCGTCAAGGAGTTAAAACTCACCTGAGCTCACCTTATAGACCTCACGTTTTTTTGGTAAAGAGTAAGTTCCAATTCTAAAAATAAATCTCCTTAGAAGCTTCTCTAATTGACGCTCTGCTTCCCAAAGACTATTTTAGGAGTCGAACACGGTAGATTTGGGTCAACTTGTAAAACATAACTGTTAAAACCTGAGATCCCTAATTGGTAAATATTCATCAGGCGTTTGTTTCTCATTGAGAGAAGACTTGTAACAAGGGACCGATGCGTTCACAAACGCTCGAAGACGCGTGTCTGATTGCGCGTTGTTCACGCGAAATTCTCGAACACCCGCGCGTTTTCAGACTTCCCGATATATCTTCCCCTTACCAACCAAACACTTTAATTTTATCCCCCTTTTTAATCCCCCCCCCCTGGGTTTTCGTGCATGGAGTGCAATTATTTTGTTTTCTTTCCTTTAATAATCTCATGAAAACTGAAGATGGCCCATGAGCTATCCGAATCTAAAGTCCTGAATGCTGTATCCTGTAAAATCGATGATTAATTAAATTTTTGTCTGTAATAGCTGAGTTTCTTGTTTGCAGCCAAGATATTCAACGGATCATGAATCTGAAAGAATCTGAAAGGGCATAAAAACAGCGTTGCTAATGAGTCTAGAAAGCTAAAGAAAACCGCATCTGAACAGTTCCCTAGCCAATATAGATTGTAGGGAATATATTCTGGGAAAAGTTGAATGCTTTAAAACTTGGTTCGCTCTTAAGTTACCTGATTTGAAGAATTGTTCTGGGAAGTTCCGAATGAAGCGGCCAAGAAAATGGCCAAAGTCATCAAGAAGAACAGACGAAACATTTTCAGTCTTTCTCAGTGGAACTGACCGTATTCATAAATGGTGCAGTGTATGAATGTAAGCTTAGAGTTCCGGAGTTGAGATCTCTCTTATGAATACAAAACGCGAAAATATACGAGATGGAAGGCCCATTGTTTTTATGTTTTCGTCCGTGACAAATAGGACAAAGCTGATCTTGACATTGATGACTGATAGTCTAAAGTCTAAACTGTTCATGACCAAAAGTAAACCGTCCAGAGTGGGCTCCCTGTATGCACCTTCCCCCACTCCGCTTGACCCCACATACACTTACTCTTTGTTACCCCAAATACCCGACCCTCTTTTCCCCGGCATGCCGACTACATAGTAAATCTCTGACCCAACCCAGCCCTAAATCAAAATTTGGATCCAGCGATACAAAAACACGAGCAAAGTTGGGAAGGAAGGCGGGATAGAACAGTGATATTTTTGTTTCACTTTAAAACTGGTGTTGAATATTATATATGACCTGCCTAGAGATATTTAGTATTTCCCTGCCATAATTACGTAGCAGGCGCTTGGCCAATCTCGTTCCCAGAGTCCGCGTTGAAAGGATCGCGGCCTTTGGGAACGAGATTGGCGCTCGGCTTGGCCCTTGGAATAGGCGCAGGAAAGAACGGGGCCCGCGAGGCAGCGCGCAATCGAGACTCCGCATAGAAACGAGGTTAAAGTACATGTGAACGCCTGTTGATGATTGACTCTCATAGCGGTGCGCCCATGTTTGTTCGACATGCAGGCGATGCAGGTAGGGAAATTATTCATATATGTATACTTAAGAGTAATATATATTATACTGTGCCATTTACTGCCTTTGTTCGTATTCAATTGCGCTAATGTAGTTAATAAGAATTAAGTTGATTTAGAGTGACACTACGTTAACGTGACCTGTTAGTTCTAAGACGATGTATGGTCATTACGATCGGAAATGTGATCCTTCTTGTCAAAGTATGCGTGTAAATATGTTGAGTGTGTACCAAGTTTAAAGCTTAAGTGATAAAATATGCTTAGTTCGCTAGAAAAATAACATGATCACTATACCCTCTCATTTACAGTTTAGTTTCATTGTCTACCGCCATTTTGTCGTCTGAACGACAATGAAATGTCGACATTTATTAAAAATAGATAGAGCGCACAAACTTTATGCTAAAGATACAACAGAGAAGATGAAAACAGACCTGACGTTGTGTGATACAGATGGTGATGCTCAAAAAATACAATCCCTGCTGAGGAACTGATCAGTCTTCACCCCTAGTATTTCTAAAATGTGAGGAAACTCAACATGGTAGACATAATGCGTTCTCTTTTTGTTAGTAAGCTTATAACCTGGTGAATATGACGTTTCAAGCCTTTGTTTACGAGTAGCTCTTTGAAAATACTTAAATTTTGTAGAAGAGTTTTTGTCTTTCCATCGCAATTTGCATTGCACTGCTCAGTTTTTCTACCTCCAGTCCGTTTTACATAACCGATTACCATCATAAGCCTCATGATTATTTGTCATTCCATCTCTGTTTTTCTAGCAAATGTTTGAAAGTTCTTACAAAAACTTGTGAAAAATTGATCGCATAAACTAGTTTGACAAGTTTTCATTTCTGACCAATTAGCAACAGCGTTGATGAAAGTGTGCGAAAACTCGACTCGTGTTTATAGTCTGTCACACATTCTCATCATAAGTAGGCCAGGCAAGCGTGTACATTTACTGAGTTCTATTTTATACTCCTTGAGTTGAATAATAAACCTCTTATTGGACGGTCTAGTGTGTAGTATAGTGGGACATTTTTACTTGTCGCTTGTATTTTGACTCAGCTACAGGCTCGCCAAAATACAGCGTGACTTGTTAAAATGTCCCACGATACTACACACTAAATATTTCATATCCTATTAAGCTACAATGAAGTCAACTATCATTTTAAAACCTTATGCTTACAAATTAACCTATTTGCAAAAGTTGTCTTAAAGCTCTCTGTGTTTATTTTTGGGAAAAGACACCCTACCTTATGTAATTTGTTTCTTTTCTCTCCGGTATCATCCCACTTAGTGGGTGGCCATTTATGGTTATTGATTTCTGGAAATAAAAAAGAGCGATCTTAATAGCTTTTGAGAAAGTCTACTGGATAAGAAATGAAATGTCGCTTATGACATCTCTTCAGAAAACGCTGACCTAAACTAAGATCTGAGTCAGACATTGACTTTCTTGTGATACATTGATAATATTATTTTTTCTTGTAAAGAAAGTTGAAGTGCTCATACAAAGGTGAGGAAGAATTCCAGACTTCTACCTCACAGTCTGTTTGGTTCTTCATATTTTGCAATCTTTGGATGAGGCTCTGTGCTGGTTAAATAGAGTTATTCTCCAAATCATGTGAAAGATCAGGTGACTTTAACTTGAAGCTAATAATACACTGTGTGAACACCTGATAAACATGACTATATTTGGGAATGTGATAGAAATTAGCATAATTACCTGATTCAAAATTGACTGCTGGCTGCGTACTGATATGTACCTTAAGCCAGATATCAAAACAAGAAAATGTGAAAAAACACTATTTGTCTACTAATAAGAGCTTGAAAGGACAAACTAAGTGTCTCCTAAGGTGTCTCGAGTGCTGGCTCAAACCCTGCAGTAAATTATATTAAGTTCAAATTATAAGTGAAACAACAGCACCCATCTAATCAGCACCATACAGAGCCCACCTTACAATAAATTAATTATTAATTTATTGCAAGGTGCTGTATGGTGCTGATAGGTGCTGTTGGCTCAATTTTTTGTTTATTTAATGAAAATCATTGCTTTTTTGCAGAAACGTGTCAAGTTACCATTGGTAAACCTCAATCAACACATAACCTGCAAATTGTGCAATGGATATCTTATTGATGCAGCAACCATAACAGAATGTCTGCACACTTGTAAGTCTATGAATTTACATGAATTTCCTATTGACGTAGTATGACGGATAGACTAGGGAATATTGGCTAGAGATAGTAGCTGTAGATTCTGTGAACATAAACTAGGACTTCACAGTTTCTCAAAAGTGGCAAAGCACTCACTCACTCACTTAACCTCCTCATCCCAGCTGGGACAAAAGGCCACAATAAAACCTCGACACTTTTAGCCTTTCCTGAGCTTTGGCCTGCGTTTCGCTCCATGTTACACCCATCTCCTCCAGCTCAATCCTGATCATCACTGTTCTCCACCAGGTGGATTTAATTGGCTGACACCTCTTTTCCTCCTCTCATTTGGAGTCCATCTCATGGCTGCAACTTTGAATTATCAGTGGGCGCTAAAGTCGAGGGCAGCACTTGAAATCCTACTTGTCCCAGACTACTGGATAAGACTTTTTTTGCGCCCCAAATCATGTCATTATTATCATAATATTATGTCCAAAGCAATAATTAAAACATTCATCAGGGCAGTGTTGGGCATTTAACTCTTGAATCAAGGGGTTGGGGCACTTTGTAGTGAATACATTGTATTAAGGTACCATCCTACCTTCAGAACCGTCTTCATGCAGATTGCTCTAAAGTGCTTCTAGCCCTACACGCTGTACCATTTCTGAAAGCTTAATGGTTGTAGATCATACGGCTAATTTCTTTTGAAAAACGAAAATGCTAATGCATTTCAGAAATAACGAGCTTTCTGTAAAAGCACATGTCTCTGTAAATTTATAAGTCCCCAAAGTCTCTGCAGAATAACATTTTTTCAAAAAATTATGAATATTGTTATCATGGATACCTTAATTATCCTGTGCCAATATTCCTCAGTACAGTCCAATCCAGTATTGAGATCAATAACATGTTTTGATCTATTCTTAAATATTTTGTCTTACATTTTATTTTGTTAGTTTGTAAGAGCTGCCTTGTGAGACATATTGAACTTGTTAATCGATGTCCAGCATGCAACACTGTTATTCATGAGACACAACCACTTTACAATATCAGGTAAAAATTACTATTAATTTTAAGTAAGTTGTATTTTCCACTGGCTGAGGTACAAAATAAGTGGAAAATGTTTTCTCGCACACCGCAGAGAGCTGGGCCCAAGGGGTTATTTTGAGTCACGTGCTCATTGTTGTTTGTCAGTTGCTTTTTTGCTGTCTTCTGTTGCTGATGGAAATTTCAGAGCATGATAGTTTTTTCGAGGCTTTATCGCCTATATCATTAATTTGTTGTTTGTTGTGCTGTACCATGAGTGCAAAGACGATTAGGTCAAAGTCTCAGTCCGGAGCAATTCTTATTTTTTACGACTGTAGCGAAACCCTTCTCCAGTATTAATATTGATAAATATTCCCCCAGGTGATCAGGGAGACAATGATCTTGAGACTAGTCTACATTGTTCTTTCAACCAGAGGCTGCTCACCTCAGAGACCTGCTGTGGTTATTAGTATGACCGGACACGAAAATCATTGTCTCCTGATCACTTGTGATTTTGCAATGATTGCAAAGTGTCTTGAGAGCTTTACCAGTAGCTTTAGAGGTTTTGGCATTGTCAGGTACAATCAAAACTGGTGTGCGTCATCTTCCTGTTGATGATCTTAGCAGAACCCACCAAGTGGGATCCCGCAATCTCACATTTCAGTTTTGGAAAAAATCTATTTACTGGGTATTCTGGACTTTAAATTCTCTATTCATATGTTTCTCCTATGGTTATGGTTATATTATACTAGAAATGATGTGAATCACATTCTCTTCACAGACTTGACAGAACTATGCAAGATATTGTTTACAAGCTCCTTCCAAGGATTGAAAGGGGTGAGCTAGCATTAAGAGTAACATGGTTAATATTAATCCGGATTGTAAAGCAGTCGGCCTTTTTGCTATGGACTTCAGCAAAGCTTTTGACTCTGTGAAACATGAACTTCTTGCTAGTAAATTAAAAAAGCTCCCACTGAATCCATATATTACCAATTGGTACTTGAACTTTGTAAAGGATAGAAAACAAAGGGTATGTTGAAACAACTTTGAGTGTGACTGGAAACCGGTCAACCAAGGGACAACTCAAGGTAGCGTTAGCGGTCCTTACCTTTTTAATATCTTCCTCAATGATCTTAACATCACTTTAGGTAATCATGACGCGCTATTTAAGTACGCTGATGACTCGACAATTATTGCTCCTGTATGGAAGGAGGTAGACTACTCCGATCAGTTAGTGTCACAGTTTTTAGATTGGACGAATACAAATGGAATGTCTTGCAACCCAAGCAAATGTAAAGAGTTGACGATCAAAAAGAGAGGCAACCACGATCTCTATTCACCCATTGGGATGATACCAAGCTGTAAAGAAGTTGAGATTTTGGGCGTCACCTTCCAATGTGACAGCAAATTTTCAGTGCACGTGAAGAACAAACTTATTAAAGCTAACAAATCCCTACATATCCTTAGAACGCTGCGCAAAGAAGGGTACAATCAGTCAGAAATAGACCTTCTCTTTAATACTATAGTTCTACCTAATATTAATTACGCATTATCTGTCTACGCCGCGTCCGAGTCCGATCTTACACCCGTACAATGTTTCTTAGACCGCTGTTTTAAAAGGAAATATACGTCTAAGCCTGTAAGTGTTTATGATTTCTTTATAGAGAGGCAAGACCGTAAAATTTTCAAAAAAGTTTTTAATGCCAAAGGACATCCACTTTTATCTATTATGCCTCGTGTTAAACCCTCCAGCTACAATCTTAGAAAAGAAACTAGTTTTAAACCTAAGATTAACACTATGCGCTTTAAAAACTCTTTTATTAATCGTTTAGTTTTTAAATATGAATTAGCTATGTAATATACTAGATATATATACCGGTATATATTTTTTTTTATTTCTTACTTTTTAACTTTTTAAATTTCTTACACTTACTTGTAACAAAAGATATGTATTTTTATCTCTTGATGAATAAAGACTTTATTATTATTATTATTATTAATCATTTTCAAAACTGATTCAAGACATTGCCTGAAATATCTCACATGAAGTGATCCTATTAGTTTCTGTAACTGTTTCTGATTACATGTAGATGATACAATTAATTGAACCTTTCACTTTTACCCCAAGTTTGGTCAATGTTATTTGGACTGAACCCAGAATTTAAGTAAACCCAGCTACTTATATAACTTTGTTGATTAGTGCATCCTGTTTCTTTGATTTCAGAGGAAAGGCGCAGAGAACGCAAGTTCTACAAAGATAGGCAGATACCATATCCAACCCCCAGAGGTATTTCCGCTGATTTTAAGAAATGATAATATTATTATCTGCCCAGCTTGCAGTTCTATAATAGTCCATTTTCGAGTTCACTATGACCGCTGAATTAAAGAAGTGAAGATGCATTTTTTACAGCCTTAGCCTCAATCTGAAGTAATATATTCACAAAGTCCAACAAGAAAAAGACCTGTTTATTACTCTGTCCATTGTGTATATTCAAATGATATTATTTCAAACACTTACTTGCCAGAATTTCTGAATATTTTACTTTACGTCAAGGCTAACCCTGTATGAATGTGTTGTTAATTTTTGTATTCAGCCGTAATTTTTAATTTGAAAGTGGACTATTGTCAGTGCTTAAAATAATTATAAAATCTATATTTTTTTCTGTCTGTTGGGTCTGGCCCAGCTCCAACTACATGCATTTTCATTTAATTGCTATAATGTGGGATCAAGAAAATGTTCTATAAATTGCAATTTAAATTTGTCGTTTTTGCTCCTTTACATTTACATCACTATCTGTAGTCATTTTTTGTACCATTTCTATGGCTCTCGTGTCCATCGCATATAACACAGAAAGGAATTATTTAACAAACAGAAGGTGGTGTCAAGAAATAATACTTGTTAATTATTGATAGTTCTGTTTTTTATTGTTTGTTTGACTTTTTTCTGTTGTAGCTTGTCAGACTTCATCTGTACCAGGACCATCAAATGCCGTCAAGAAACAAACAGCATCATTACCCAAAAAAATAAGCAAACCAAAAGTAACAAAAAGCTATCATAGAACAGATGAACAAATCTCTCTTCAACTTGAGACATTTAGGTTAGTGAAATAATTGATGAATTAATTTGTGATTAAACCCTGCCTTTTAATAAATGTGAGATGGAGGCTGTGTGGTAGAGTGGTTAACACCTCAAACTCTGGATCTGGAGTTCTGGGGTTCAAGCCTCACCTGTCCCCTTGTTTCCTTAGACAAGGAACTCTACTCCACCTTGTCTCTCTTCACCCAGGTGTATAAATGAGTATCAGTGGCATACTGGGGGGGGGGAGGGGGGAGGGGGTAACCCTGTGATGGACTAGCATCCCGTCCAGGGGGAAGCAGCTATACTCCAAGGTAGCTTCATGCTAAGGAAATCTGAATAAGCTCCTGCTGTTTGGGCCTTTGACTCGTGTGTGCCTTTTACCTTACTTTTTTACCTTAGTTGCGAGATTAAGTGATACACCTGTATAAATTATTTAAGTAGGCTTAAGAGAGCATGAAACTGTCTTGAAGATAACATTGTTTCCATAAATGAATACCTGGAAAAGATGTAACAAAATAATGTACACCAAAAGCCACTGCAAGATGTTCACTTAGAACTTTTTTTGACGAAATAGAATGTTATCAGACAGTGTACAGGGCTGTGCTCTAGCAGAGCCCGGTGGTCCCTGGCGCCTAACTTTTGCCCTCAGGAAACTAGAAAATCTCAGATTTTTCATACAAATCATATGCTGGGCACCCTAGATTTTACAGTTTCAGAGCACTGGGTTCCCTTCAATTTTCCTTAAAGCACAGCCTTGGTGTAATAGCAAGTTCGCCCAGGGGTGGTTTTTATTATAAACTGGGTTCTGCTGTATTATGTACTAATTGAGTTCAAGGTATGTACTGTGAGTTACAGACCAAGTTTTTTTGCCATTGATTTATGGCCTCTGTGTGAAGTGCATTAACCGTCAATCAATGGGGAAAATGAGGATCTGTAACGTTAAGTATGGCCTGAGAGTATGAGGCTAGTAAAAAAATTGTTTTATCTCAGAGGTTAATTGGCGTGTGGGAAAGGGAACATGTTAGGGCAGTATACTGAAATATGGCCAGCAACATTCACCAATCACAGTGCATGTACTTACTAGGAGATATTATATGCGTAATAAACATCTACTGATAAATTAACTGAATCAGATGTTTAACTCCAGTCCTCCTGTCTGAATACATCACTCAGACATATATTTTTTTAAAAGGGCTTATATCGTGTGTTAAGAAGAGGCTTAATAAAATATTAGGTTTCAATTAGATTATTGCATTATACAGTATATCTTACATGCCAATTGTAAATTGTCCATGTAATTAGCACTGTTTTGTGGACCTTTTTTCTGGAATTATCTAGCCAGCTTAGCCAGTGCGCACTCGCGTGGCTTTGCTTGCTTGTAGGCTTGAAAATAGCGCTATATAAATCAAGTGTAATGTAATGTATAAAATATATAAATAGATATTACAGTTACTAACTATAACTAACTTCATTTCTATGTGGCTGGATGATAATGTTATTGTTTACTTGTTAAAATTGCAGAGATGGAAGTGGTGGCCCAGCAAAAATACAGGTAAATGTTAACGTTGTTTCTCTTTTAGTTTTGAAATAGGTCAAGAAGCCATTGGAGTCTCATAAAGACTTGTATGCAATATTGAATAAATCAGTATTGACGAAAGTTGAAATAAAAGCCCAATTGATGCACTCTGGCTGCACTTATTTGCACCATAAATGTATCTGTGTTATTGTTAGTTGTTGCTTTGAATGGCTCGCTACTCTCAAAAGGGCAAAGAGGGGGGTTTAGAACTTAAAGAATGTTATTAAAAGGGAAAAACGTATGCAGCGTTTAGGGAATAAATGGGAGTGAACTTTTTATTTGTTGGTTGATTAACTGATTGATTGATTGATTGACTGATTGACTGACTGACTGACTAACTGATTGACTGACTGACTGACTGACTGACTGACTGACTGACTGACTGATTGATTGATTGATTGATTGATTGGTTGGTTGATTGACTGATTGACTGACTGATTCATTGATTAATTGATTGATTGCAGCCACTTCAGAAGAAATACATGAGACTCTCCACACAAGTCACCATTGGCTTAATACAAAGATTTTTGGCAGCTAAACTACACTTGGAATCTGCGAACATGGTAAAAAGATTGTAGTTTAGTTTGTCTCTTTTAAACCTAAATCGCTGCTCGTAAGATGCTTCGCGCCAAAAGTGAAACACGCCCACCTGAAGCCGAAACACGCTTGTATCACTCCGTTTTCACTCATACTCTAGACCGTTTCATTTTACCAGTGCTCGCATTCATGGCGAACGCAAAATACGGCTTTTTTGCTGTCTACATATACATCTGTCGCCAGAAATGGTTACGGTGGAAAACATACAAACAGTCACATTCTTGGAAACCAAGATACGATAGATAGTGAAGCAAGAGAAAATTTCTACGAGCAGAGGGTAAGAAATGGGTGCTGTCGAGTTTTTTCCCTTTTGGTACTGTTCCTCGCCTTACTATAAATTCGTTCCTGGCTTTATGAGGATGAAAAAACGCATGATTTCTACTCTGTGTATGGATTGCAACTTGCAGTCCGCCTTTGAATCCGTCGACGTCTCTTCCGTGGGCATTAGTACACCCTCGTTTATCGCGGCTTCCGTGGGCATCATTACGCCCTCGTTTATCGCGGCTCGCGGCTGAAGAGATTACGCACAGTTTACTCTGTTCAGTATTTACACGCCAACTTAATTAGCTAGACGAGTCTTCTGATCGGATAGTGTGGTTATTAGTTGTCCTTGATCACATTGTTCGTTGTACAACTGATTGAAAAAACGTTGTCGCTTAAGAAAGATTTGCATCTGCACGAGCAGCTCGTGATAATGAAGAGCTTTGTCGAAAGAACTTTGAATTCGCTTGTCTTATCAACGTACAGTCAACTCTCGTCAACACGGACACCTTTGGGACCGACACTAAGTGTCCGTTTTGGAGAGATGTCCGTCTTATAGAGGTGTCCGTTAAGAGGGAGTCGACTGTATACCCATATCGCTCATGGTTTATGCTTTTTAAGCGACAACGTTTTTTCAATCAGGTATATTATTTAGTGTCACTCACACACTCGTTAATGACGTATCCTCTGTTAGGTTGGTATCCTGTTTGACAAAATGGAAAAGGGGAAAGATTTAACGCTAAAATACATCAGCGAAAATCTCTGCACCCAAGAGGTATGGTTATTTTTCTTTTTTAACTAAATGTTTGCTGACCATTAGTCTCCTATGCTGCCCCTCATGAGGGACTTAAAGATCGACGACGGTGAAAACGCCGCTTAAAAACTGAATTCCCATTTTTTTAATCTTCATCGCGATGTTTCCATCCCACTTACTTTCCACTGGAATTGAATTTTTAACATCACTTTTGAGAATATATGTTGAATAGCGTACGAAACGTCAAGTTTATAAAAATGCGAAAACTCGCAATGTTTATCACCGCTGTTTGTGGTTAATTTTTGATCAAACTAAGATGGCCTAAGAATAAGAGTCTCTATGATACCATATCCAAGTTCAGAAAGAGTAGGAAAATTTCCTCTTCGCTTGTGTACGTCTTCCATAATTATAACGTGAAGTTAGGCATCGTTTCACGTGCAGTGACGGTAAAGAAATTACCCAGGGTGCCCGAGGTTTTTTCATCCTAGGACTGAGAATATTGCTGTTTTAATTTAGGTCAATTTCTTGCTGAAGTCATTGCTTAGTGCCTTAACCCAAACACAAAATGTACCTGTTGCATTATGATGTCAAACAAATTTCACCAGGAAGCATCAACCATAATAATTAATTGTTTTGTGATTAGTATTAACCCTTTAAGCCCCAGTATCCACATACAAATTCTCCAAACTGATCTCTATACATTTCCTTAAAGAATGAGTTGAGAGAATTTGATAAAAGATCAAGGCATTTTTACTCGGGTGATCATTTTATTAATTCTCATAACTTATCTGTTCACTGATGTATGGATATTGTTAGCAGAAAATTCAAACCATGTCCATCCTTGTCATCGCATCCGTAGCAACAGACGAGAGAAAACAGTCTCAGTGCCTGAATATAGTCATAAATAACAAAACTGGACCTTTATTTTTGGCATTTAATTGATGCGAAGACAAGTTTTAGCTGATTAAAACGATAGTAAGTAGCGTGACATAGTCCCTTTAAACCTGATGCTTTTTTGACGTTCTCGTTGCCTTCGCCGTCGTTTCAGGACCTTGAAGTCCCCATTATTAAGTCACGCACTGCTCCTCCCTGCAGGTGAAAGAAGCTGCCCTGTACCAAGTCGTCGCTCTCTCGATGAAAATCATTCTCGTCCCCAGAGCCTCCTGTTCTCTTAGCCGGCGATGTCTGAGCACGAGGACGAGGAGGTCCTCAGGCTCTCGTGCTCAGGGATCCTCAGGCCTCGCCGGCTTAGGGAACGGGAGGCTCTGGGGACAAGAATAGATGAAAATTCGCGCGCAAAGGAAGGGGGACGCAACCTCGTTCCCAGGGTTGTCTCCTACCTGTCCCCTTCTCGCTCCAAGGGACGGGTAGGACGGAACTCTGGGAACGAGGTTAAACGGGAAGGAGAAAACAGGCGAGATTTTGCCCCTTTTTTCTCATGCTTCTTTGCGCTTTGTCACCAGTCACTCGTGTGTCTCGTGTCCTCGAAAAACGAGGCCCCTTAGGAGGGGCAGAGAAAGAAGTCTTCCGAGCCTTTTTTGCCCGCACTCACACTTTTTTTTCGTTTTCAGGAAAATTCTTCTGGACCACTGATTCTTCATTACAGAGCAGTGGATGTAAAAACCTGAATCATTGGGCAGTGCATGTTGTCAGAAACAGAATAATTTCTTCTTGCTTAGCACAGTTAATACTCGCATCATGAGTGTAAAATTTGTGAGGATAGGAACAAGATGTCCTTGAAAAAATGCGTGCTCAAAAATTTTTTAAAAGAATTCCTTCAGCCTGCATTCATCGCTGCGTTACCTCCCTTCCCCCTGCCAAAAATCTTGATGTTGCATTTCTGTTCATTTCTTTACAACTTACTCGTCATACTTTATGGCCAATCACACATCTTGTTTGGAAGGATAAAAGTGTGTTTACAGAAAATGTTACTGAGAGTCTTTCTCTAAACCAGAGCTGGCAAAACGCTTGGCCTGACTTGGGATATTTAAGACCCACCGTTCCCCGTAACCCAGTGTTGACAATAATTTCCTACCTAAAACAAAATGTTGTGTTTGGGGAGGGGTAGGTTGCCAGTTTCTCCAGAATCTTACACTGATCCAAATCTTCCTAAGGGGAGGAAGGGAAGGAACAATCGCCATCTGACTTCTTCCGAAACGTGGGTCCTTTTCAAAGAATAACCTCCCTTGAAATGTATGCAGTAGCTTAGCTATTGGCCTGGGAAACAAGCGTTTCTGGAGCGTTTAAGCGGGTTTGATGCGCCATCAAGCGCCTCCAAAATACGGGTGTTGCAGCCTAACGAATCTGAATGCTTCTGTTTTAACTGCCTCTGTACGAATTTGTCTAGTTAGAGCACTGAAAGAGAGAAAATCTCAACTTCCGGTTGCCATTTTTGACTTCCGGGACGTCAACGTTGTCGTTGCGTAGGGTTAAGGGTTGGTTGTCGTTGCTATTGGGTCAAAGGGTAGGTTTGTTATGGTATCTTACATTACGTAGCACGGTCTGCAAGACCACCAAACTACTATTAACCAAAATGTACCTGTAGCATTATGATGTCAAACAAATTTCACCAGGAAGCATCAACCATAATAATTATTTGTTTTGTGATTAGTATTAACCCTTTAAGCCCCAGTATCCACGTACAAATTCTCCAAACTCATCTCCATACAATTCCTTAAAGAATGAGTTGAGAGAATTTGATAAAAGATCAAGGCATTTTTACTCGGGTGTTCATTTTATTAATTCTCGTAACTTATCTGTTCACTGATGTATGGATATTGTTAAGAGAAAATTCAAACCATGTCCATCCTTGTCATCGCATCCGTAGCAACAGACGAGAGAAAACAGTCTCAGTGCCTGAATATAGTCATAAATAACAAAACTGGGCCTTTATTTTTGGCATTTAATTGATGCGAAGACAAATCTTAGCTGATTAAAACGATAGCAAGTAGCGTGACATAGTCCCTTTAAACCTGATGCTTTTTTGACGTTCTCGTTGCCTTCGCCGTCGTTTCAGGACCTTGAAGTCCCCATTATTAAGTCACGCACTGCTCCTCCCTGCAGGTGAAAGAAGCTGCCCTGTACCAAGTCGTCGCTCTCTCGATGAAAATCATTCTCGTCCCCAGAGCCTCCTGTTCTCTTAGCCGGCGATGTCTGAGCACGAGGACGAGGAGGTCCTCAGGCTCTCGTGCTCAGGGATCCTCAGGCCTCGCCGGCTTAGGGAACGGGAGGCTCTGGGGACAAGAATAGATGAAAATTCGCGCGCAAAGGAAGGGGGACGCAACCTCGTTCCCAGGGTTGTCTCCTACCTGTCCCCTTCTCGCTCCAAGGGACGGGTAGGACGGAACTCTGGGAACGAGGTTGGGCGGGAAGGAGAAAACGGGCGAGATTTCGCCCCTCTTTTTTCTCATGCTTCTTTACGCTTTGTCACCAGTCACTCGCGTGTCACTCGCGTTTAGCGCTCGTGTCCTCGAAAAACGAGGCCCCTTAGGAGGGGCAGAGAAAGAAGTCTTCCGAGCCTTTTTTACCCACTCTCACAACATTTCTTTTTCGTTGTCAGGAAAATTCTTCTGGACCACTGATTCTTCATTACAGAGCAGTGGATGTAAAAACCTGAATCATCGGGGAGTGCATGGTGTCGGAAATAGAATAATTTCTTCTTGCTTAGCACAGTTAATACTCGCATCATGAGTGTAAAATTTGTGAGGATAGGAACAAGATGTCCTTGAAAAAATGCGTGCTCAAAAATTTTTTTAAAGAATTCCTTCAGCCTGCATTCATCGCTGCGTTACCTCCCTTCCCACTGCAAAAAATTTTGATGTTGCATTTCTGTTCATTTCTTTACAACTTACTCGTCATACTTTATGACCAATCACACATCTTGTTTGGAAGGATAAGAGTGTGTTTACAGAAAATGTTACTGAGAGTCTTTCTCTAAACCAGAGCTGGCAAAACGCTTGGCCTGACTTGGGATATTTAAGACCCACCGTTCCCCGTAACCCAGTGTTGACAATAATTTCCTACTTAAAACAAAATGTTGTGTTTGGGGAGGGGTAGGTTGCCGGTTTCTCCAGAATCTTACACTGATCCAAATCTTCCTAAGGGGAGGAAGGGAAGGAACGATCGCCATCTGACTTCTTCCGAAGCGTGGGTCCTTTTCAAAGAATAACCTCCCTTGAAATGTATGCAGTAGCTTAGCTATTGGCCTGGAAAACAAGCGTTTCTGGAGCGTTTAAGCGGGGTTTGATGCGCCAGCGAGCGTCTCCAAAATACGGGTGTTGCAGCCTAACGAATCTGAATGCTTCTGTTTTAACTGCCTCTGTACGAATTTGTCTAGTTAAAGCACTGAAAGAGAGAAAATCTTAACTTCCGGTTGCCATTTTTGACTTCCGGGACGTCAACGTTGTCGTTGCGTAGGGTTAAGGGTTGGCTGTCGTTGCTATTGGGTCAAAGGGTAGGTTTGTTATGGTATCTTGCATTACGTAGCACGGTCTGCAAGACCCTCAAACTACTATGAACCATAGCGTGTTTAGTGATTGGCCTGGTGTTGCTCTGGTGCGTTGATGGTCGGCTAGGAAAATATCGCGCCAATTTCCTGACCAATCACAGGTTTAATCTATACAATCCGGACTTATTCGCAACCAGCATTTTCGCGCCATAGTGTTCTAAAGCGATGACGTCGTAAAAAATATAATATTAGAATTAATGGGATTTGTTGGATATTTTGAAAGAACAACATCTGGAAGGTCTTCTGGCCAAACAATCGCATTGTGGGGTAAATTGTCTCGGGAGATACTGGTCCCGTTTTGCTCTGATGACTCCACACAAATCCTTCTCAATTTGACTCGGTTCCTGATGTTATGAACTGAGTCGAATTTAGAAGGATTTGTATAATTGGAGTCATCAAAGCACAACTGGGCTAATTTGCCCTGGAATGCTAATTTTTGGCAAGTAGTCCTTTTGGATGTTCTTTCATACTCCGAAAATCCCATAATTTCACAAATTTAATTTTTTATGACATCACACTTTACTATTGCCTTTGTGTCAGATTGGTTGACTGGATTGCTCGACTCTGTGATTTGCTAGCCCTGGCTGGAACAAAGAGTAGTGTTTTTTAAGTCTGACCATACTCGACTGAAATTCATAGCTGAAAGGCTAATTTATTCACAAACTGCCTGTCCTCCTAGTTAAAATCTTTTAACCTTTTTCTTGGCCCTCTAACTTCCCAAGAGTGCTAAAATCAAAGTTCCTGTATTTTATGCGGTAAAAAATAAATAAATGAGCAAATGACGGAAAAATATACCAACCATGCAAACAACAGCTGAAGAAATTTCATCTGAATGGTCCGAACGTGATTTTGTGCGCTCTGAAAAGTTAGAGCTACATTCTTAAAAATGACTAAAAATACATTGACTCAGCGACGCGCATCTCTACACTAATGATCATGGTTGTAATAGCATTGTTTACATAAGCTTAACTTAGTCTTAACCCTTTAAACGGCAACGGTGATGAACATCACATTTCTCCTTACGAGGTCACAGCTCAATCAACCATTAAGGTCGCGAGAGTAAAGAAAATGGTCAACAAGTAACCTGGGTGGTTTGATGTATGTTCTTCTCTGACACAAGGTTACACATCGTTTAGCATTTGTAGCTCAACAAACGGGGAATGATGTTTTGGCAAGCTGTAACTTTTTGAACGGAACATAGCGTATCTATTTTCGTTCAACATGTTGAATAGCCTATTTTAACTTTAAAAATGGCATGATACACTGGTTCAGCATTCTTAGAAAAGTCAATGGATGGGGGAAAGTGTGAGAATATGCAAGCTAAAGTTAGGGTTTAACCCTTTCAACCCTAAGATCAAAATGTGAATTCCCATTTGTTGCCCCTATTCATTTCCTACAGAAGTAGTGAGGAGAAGTTGATAAAATATCAAGCAAATTCTTCTTTTGTGATCATGTGCCTAATTCTCATGACCACTCTGTTTTACAAAGGATTGGTATTACAAGGAGAAATTTGATGCTGATCACTCTAAGGGCTTCAAGGGTTAAAGAGATGAGAGTCGGAACACCATAGGCCCTATGCAGCTGACAGTCACATGACCTGCTTCAAGCAAAAAATATAAATATATGAGATACAACTTAAACAATACTAGAGATGGTCAACAGAGCACGAGTAAGTTAGCGAGGAAGCCAATTCTAAAGTGTTGACACGTAAGACTAAGATTTTATGGGCGTTAGAAAGTCTGTAAAATTGTAACGGTTTGTATTAAAAAAACTACTTTTCCTATAGCTATAATAATAATAATAATAATAATAATATTTTTTCCGTTATTCAAACCACCATAAGATCGCACTGTTAAGGGTTTAAGAAACCTAAAAATTAATAGAGTTCTTGAAGGATTGTATCCCATAATTTTGGCATGAGATATGTTCCGTAACCCCGAGTTACAAAGGGCCTACTCCTACCTCAAAAGATAAAGCTCTGAAGCACTCTTGTAAAAGTACATTGTATAGGAATGAATTGATCGTTCGATCAGCTTCCGAATATTTCCATCTTAAGATATATAGTAGCCTGTGAGCAAGCTTTCCAGGGCGCTCTGGCGGCGGTGGGGGGGAGGACAAAGGAGAGCTGGGCATTACGTCACTGGAATTTGAATTCCACCTCCAATTCCCCCGTGGCTTCTCGTCGACTGAGCTGTCAAATTTTCGCCAATCAGCGCAAAGCAGAAACGAGCGCGAATGTAAACAAACATTAAAAAACACATGCCAAGGGTAATGACGTCATTACTAATGTCATCTCCGCCAATCAGCATTTCGCATTTACTTTTTCGACGTAGATTTTCAAATTCCAGAGACGCAGTTGCAAGCTCTCCTTTCTATTCCCACCCCGCCGCCAGAGCACCCCGGGGAGCTTGCTCGCAGACTAGATGTATACATAATGTCCTTCCCACCATGCTCTCTATTCATCTCAACATTTACCCTTGTACCTTTTTAGCTTGCCACGTTTCAATTTTATCCTTGATGCTGATCTCACTTTCTCTGCGTTTATAGGAAAATAAAATTTGCATCAAGGAGCAACACATACATCTCTCACTTAACAACGCTATTCCAACTGGTCAAACAAAAGACAAAGTCTACCTATGTGGGTTGAAAAATATATATATTACAAAATAAATTCCGGAAAAATTGTTAAAACTGTACATAGATTGCTTTCAAGAAAAGTACACACTACTTTAATTCCCCATTCCAGAAGCTCTTGGAGAATAACTACATAGTTTGGGCGCCGCGATTTCTGGGAGACACGCGTGAAAAACGCAGTGCACATGCGTGCCTTCCCTGCTTCCGGCGCGAATTTGCCAGTGTCTCCCCCAATCGAAATTATACGCGATACCAGAATAAACTAGATTCCGGCCGCGAAATTCAAAAAAGTAAGCTCCACACACAAAAGATAAGCTTAGAATTTCACGAACACAAAGTGTATTAATTGCTTTAGTTTCTCTCTTTTGCACCACATACTTTCCTCCATGCATCAAAGGCGAAAATCATGTTTGAAAGTCCACGCTCGCTCTGGCAGCACTTCGCCGTAGCCATTGTTGTTGTTTTGGTCATCCTGTCGCTGAGCTCGGTCAATGCGAACAACGAAAACGACCAATGCATGCTAAGTGGAAAAACAAGGACGGAAAAACCTTGTACTGGACGACTTTACCAGTTAGTTAGTTAAGTTAGTTTAAGCAATTTTTTGTTGTGCTTAATACTAGAACTGGCTGCAAACCATTAAACATATCAAACATTCCTAAGTGTTTTTCAATTTAAATGGCGAAGATTTTGCAAATTTTAATTATTTAAAATAGAGACCTTGCGCATGCGCAGACGTTTTGCACGCGTGTCTTTCTGGGATCATTTGGGTTGACAAGCGTTAGTTATGATTGGTCGAGTTAGTCGATAGTATTCGAGACAACCATTAGCCAATCATAAGTAACGATTATCCATCCAAACGATCCCAGGAATCTTTGCGCCGAAAGCTTGTACCCATTCCTCTTATAGTTTCTGGAATGGGGAATGTCAGTGACGAGTCCATCACGTGCACTAAAAAAATCTCTATACACTAGTTTCGTTTCGCTGTGGTTCTGGAGTCGTGCGGTTGAGGTAAGGTACAGGAACAAACACAGCTGACGAGGGCTGCTCAGCGCCCCACTCTTTCTGCTTAGGCTTCGATCGCTCATCTTTCCGAGAAGACATGGACGACCGAGGGGTTCGCTCTTTCGGCGTTTCACCTGGATTCACTAGTAAAGCTCTGTTAGCATTCTTCTGTGATTGCGATCTTGTTTCGCCAGCAGCTCGATTAGCACGACGAGACTGGCCATCGACTTTTCTTGTTTCAATACCAAGATTGTGGTGTATTTCACGTGCAATTTGATAAGGAGTACGTTGTCTTCGACCAGAAACATGAACTCCGTTCGACTGTTCTAGCTCGAGTCCTGGCTTTGATGTTAGTTTATCTTTCTATTTTAGGCTTAAAATCTATGAAATACGTTCCCAAAAGCAAAGTTGAATCTTTAATTTAAATTGCAAAAGATCATGGAAGGCCAAACTCGCGCACGAGCCACTGATTTATACTCCCATCAACGTTAAAAAGCGCGGTACAATCCAATTAATTAATTAACATTAATTAGTTTTTCTTTGATGAACGTGTGAGATGAAAAAGAGGTGGAATGAGAACCTTCCAATGGATCCAGAGTAAAATTATACTAAAGCAGAAAGGTCCAATTTATTTAGATTATAGCTGTTTAAGTACTGAAGGGGTCAGAAAATAACAGAGTTTCTATGGTCTCAAGAAACCATCCTTAAGGTAGGGCAGAAGGTAGTTTACAAGACTATTAGCATTCGGTGCAGTGTTAGTTCTTTTTTAACCAAGTAGACAGTAGTTTGATCATTTTCGTTGAAACTGATTCCAAAGTTAAACCGGTCCCTGATATCTTCTAACTTTTATTACGCATTAACTCGCATTCACAAGTTCTACAGTCATGTATCTTCTTTGCCCCTGGTTTGGACCTCATTTCAGAAGCCACGTGAGAGTTATATTTAGGTCTAAATCCGTTCCGGCACGGACCAGGGACTGGGCCGGTTAGGAGGAATTGTGGGTAGCCTTTATGAGATATGTTTAGTTGTACGTTGCAAATTTGAATCAATCCTGGTCAGCATTCATTCGAGCTCCTAACTTTTATTTTATTTGCTGTATTTCAAGTGTTTTATTTGTTTGCAGGCTTTTGGCAGCTAGTTTTTGCGTACCTCTGCACCCGAGTTGTCGGCAACGCAGCTCATTTCAACAGTTTCGGGCGTACGTTCCCTTTTTCCACAAAGTGCTTTTGGGTTTTCGTATCCGGCGGTGTCGTACTAAAGTTCTCTCAAGGTTTGTGTTTTTCATAGGGCGTTCTGTAATTAAGTACAGTCTTGAAATCTTACGGAAATAAATTGGCTTTGAGGTCCTTGCTGACCTATAGGAAAAAGATCTTTCCCATCACCCAATTCGTCCCGTAACTTCCCGCGCGGATCCACGCCTTTGTATACGGTTTGTAAGGTCATCAATCTTAGCGCTCAAGGACTAATGACTTTGTCATCTAACTTTCGTAGGAGCAAGAAATATTTCAAACCATGCCAGGATAAAAAGACAAAAAAATGGTAACATTGAGCCGAAAAGGGTGATGAAAATCCTCCACTAGCTACCCACCTACACTTTCTTCCTTTTAATACCATAAGTCTTGAGTTCTCCAGAACATTTTCTACCGAAATGAGGCCCAGTAAATTCCCAGAACCAAAAAAATGAACAAGAATAAAGAAAAAGGACGGGAGGAGGGAAAGCGAAAGGCAAACATGCCACGACTTTTTAACCTAAAATATCGAAAATTTACTTTCTAAAAACACCCGTGCTTCCGAAGCCGATATATTGCATAGAAGGCAATAGAATAGACGGTGTAAAGTGCTCGACCTGTAGACGACGTTCCTGGCAGTTTTGGCTCTTTACAGGCAGATAATGAGCAGACAACGGCTTGTCTAGCCTCAAAACGCCTATATTCTAAAAAAGCTGAGCTGGTTTTGAAAATCTGAGCGCTCGAATACTTCTTGTATCTGATTGGCAATGTGTAAAACGACGGTTATTAAAATAACGCCATTTCTGAATGCTTTAGTCGACATTGCTACGTTCATCGATCGGCCAATAAAAACTCGCGTTACTTGCATAAGAAATCACCGTTCAAAGCCTATACATTCTTTAACTTTCCTTTCCTTTTGCTGATTGCTCAAGCTGTGCTCATTATAATACATTACGTTGAGATGGACAGAAATACAAGCTATGCCACAGATTCATTTTTGTAGAATTTTCGTTCAAATAATAGTACACAACCTCCTAGTGTTCCAAGCACATCTTTATTGCAACTAATCGCCGCGATAATAAAGCACATTTGTTTCCTAACATTTCACTATATCAACCAAAATAGTGACGTTATTGTATCAGTCCCTTCCTATAAAAACCCCTTCTTAACGGATAGACAGTATTACGTTTATAAAGTTCCCGTTATTACTAAGATTAGCAATTGAAATGTTTTAGTTCTTCACTACACAAAACATCTTTTATGCTTGGACCTGACCTTATGGCCTCCTGCTCTATACCCACTTGTACAGGGCGCTGTTTATGTTGTGCTTTTGGCCATTTTTGTAGTTTGCTACTGCAAGGTAAGTATGCCCTTTGTACTCAAATGACGTCATACCAAAAGCCCCGTGGGTTGGAATCTCTTGGTACTTGATGAACTGCGCTCCAGAGGCCTGGTACACAACTGACTTGGTGTTGAACTTCTGACTGTCACCATGGTGATTAGCCACACCAAGGTAGGTTTGACCGCTGATTACAAATGGATACCATGCGATGGCTCCTCGAGTAGGAATGGACTGGAACAGGACGAACTTGTTACCATTCCACTTGTAAATGAAAGAATCGATGTTGTGTTTACTTCGAATTCCAGAGTAGTAGTTGGCAAAAGCGAGAAACGTGTGACCGTTGACGTTGAAAGGCTTCACATCGTGCGCTGCGTAAGTCTGAAGAGACTGCAGTTTTACAAAGTGACCTACTGACCACTTGAACACAGTGGACTGAACAGCACGCTTGTGTTGGGAGTAGTAATGATTTGCAAATGCGATGAATGTTTCTCTGTTTATCACAAACGCCGTACATCTCACGGCACCTTCAGTTGATATGTCTTGAAATCTGTTAAACTTGCCGCTGCTCCATTTGTAGATAACTGACTTTATAGAATGGGTACTTCCGTCATTGTAGTTTGCTACTGCGAGATAACTATCCCCATTTACCTTGAAATAGGTGAAGTGGCTTGCTCCGTATGTTGATAATTTCTGAAAGTCGACAAACAACTTTCCATTCCATTGATAGACTGTGGAATCCACCCGGTATGTTCCATCGTAATGGGTAGGGACAGCAAGAAAATGTTTGTTAGCGATAGAAAAGTACTCCAGGCCATACGCTCCTCTTGTTTGCAGGTTCTGGTACAAAGACAGTCTTCCAGTTGAGTTGTCCATCTTGTAGATCATGGAACTTGTCTTCCATTTCCTAATGTCCCCATGATAATTGGCAAAAGCAAGAAACAAATTTCCATCAATGGTGAAATGTTCCACACCTACAGCTCCTCGGGTTGGTAGGTCTTGAACTTTTTCAAAGAAGTGGAGTCCAATAGAGCAATCTTCCACAAGAAAAAAAAGGATGAACATCTTTGTTAACAGCTAATGTCAAGAAAAAAACTAGTTAGAATTAATCGACAAAAGAATTTACTCATGCGTTGTGGTTTTTCAATGACCAAAGATGGGCCACGATATCATGAACTTAAAATTCGGAAACTCTTCTTTCCAGTGAATCAATGTAAATGTACATCGTAGGCAACAGTAGTAAATAATGCCCTTACCGGTTAAACAGCACCCTGATTTGCCCTAAAACGCAAAATAACTCGTAAGAACAAAATACAGTAAAAGAACAAAGCTAACAATCTCCTAATATACACTCCTGGAGAAAAGTCCTAGTGCAGTGATGAAGTATTCTTATTTTTTTGTAATTTCTGGAAGCCCTTATAAAATAAACGTTAAGCATCCTTTTCGATTTTTTTTTTTGCAGTTCTCCTCCCCCACCCTATACAATACTGAAACTCAGAAAATTTCTGGATACACGCCGACACGCGTCCAACGTTGTTTGTGGGGTGGGGTAGGGGTTGGGCATGTGTGAATTGAAAAAAAGCCGCACAAATGCAAATGTGTCCCAAGACTTTTGTACATTATTGTAGTTATATAGGCAAACAGAGTTGAACACCTGTACAGATAACTTTTTCTGACGAAAAACTCCCTTGATCAGACACCAAGTGATGTAAAAAGGATCCTGCTTTCAAGATGACATTGAGCTAATCTTACGTTAACATCATATATGGCAGACTGCGGGCATTACATGTATTTTGTTCCTCTTTCCTTAGACTAGTAGGACATGCAAGCTAATTTTTATTTGATTTTTAAAAACCTAGATACTCACCGTCACGTGTCACAACTTTACCGCTTATTCACGTACACTTCTCCCTTTTAAAGACAACAGGCCCGAAAGGAAGAGATCGTGCATGCAGTTTATGGTAATTAAATTAATATGGCTTATTGTAATAAGGATAATTATCACTAAAGAGTGAAAATCTGGGAGCTGTGAGGTAATAATTACCTTTGTATCACACGTTCCCGAAATTCCTTTTTGTCCTTGTGATCCCTTCTCTCCTTGGGATCCTTTGTCACCACGAGATCCCTTTTCACCCTTATCAAACAAAGTATTTATAATTATAATGAACATATATTAATATTCTGCTAGATAGCCAAAGAGCTCGGGAATTTCAAAACCTGATCACCCCTTTATCCTTTACTGTAGCGATACAAGAAGAAAACTTAAAGTTACATACGGTGCTTGTTTTATACCAGAAACGAATCCGTAAAGAAATAAAATTCGATCTGTTTAGTTAGTTTAGTCGAGCGCCAGCTCGGACATACTAACTAACAGGCCGAATGTAACATTTAGAAGCGTGAGGGACATGAAAATTGAATGAGTGGTGTGTGTGTGGCTGTGTTGGATAAAGCATGTGCCTTCGTTTTTGTCTTGCACACTGAAAATTAGTTGGCAGAAAAAAAAAAAACAGAAATATTTTATTGAAGGTAAATCCACGTTGGAGAACTGATTAAGGTTGTTAAAGTGTTCTTTCTTACAGACAAAAAAAGGTCATGAAACTTACACTTACTTTAACACCACCATTACTGTTTTTATCCATTCCTGGTTCTCCTTTCACCCCCTACAACAGAAATAATAAGGAGCACTTGGCCTGCTTACAAAGGGCCTGGGAAAATACGTCAAAAGAATCCCTGGAAACATCAATGTTGAGGACCTCCACAAGATCAGCCACATTTTACAAAAAGCGCTCTTCACCAACTAGATAATAACGACTCCCCCCTCCCCTCAGCCACTCCCAAGGAAACTGGTAGCTCCTTGGAGTTCTGAGCAGTAAGAACTGCTAAACAAGACATAATAATAATAATCATCGTCATCATCATCATCTGTCAACATGATTGAAAAGCTTTCAAAGTATAACGACTTAGAGATCGAAGTCTCAAGGATGAGCCTTAAAACAGAAACTGTGTCTGTAGTTATTGGAGCTCTTGGCCTACTAAAAACGGGCCTCGGAAAATACGTGGAAAAAATCACTAGGAACATCAATATCGAAGAACTCCCAAAGATGAGTCTTCTAGGCACAGCCCATATTTTGCAAAAAGTGCTGTCTACCAATTAAATAAAGACTCCCCTCAGCTGCTCCCAAGGAGACTGGGCGCTTGTCGGAGCCCTGGACAGTACGAACTGTGAAAGAAGAAAAACATAATAATAATAATAATAATAATAATAATAATAATAACAATAACAATAAGTAATTAAAGCTAACTGTGAGAAAGGAGTGACAATGATGATGATGAAGATGGTAAATAACAAATACAGACAATCTATACTGTGGTGTGATCAACATAAAGCTAACTGGTCTGATTATAATTTTGATCATTTTGCTAAGTCCAACCGAAATTTAAACACACAAAAGACATTACTACACTCCATATGATCACTGATGTTTTATGGAGAGATACACATGTATGGATCCAGAAACTAAAAACCTCCATTTGAAAAGCAGTACATATTTATAATACCTTAACACCTGCACTTCCATCTCTTCCTGGTTTCCCTGTTTCTCCTTTTTCTGCCTAACATAGATATTTACAAGGTGAAACCCAAACTGACAATAACTTAGAAGATGACTATTACTATTAATTTTACACCGCAGCAGGATTAGCTCAGTACCACGGCAGGATTAGCTCAGTCGGTAGAGCGCTTGACTGCAGAGCGGGAGGTAATGATATCGTTGATAGTGTCTCTTCAAAAATTAAATTATTTGCGGATGACACAAAGATTTACAGAGAGCTTCGCAACCCTAGTCTCGATGAACAATACCTTCAAACTGATTTGAATAATCTTGGTAAATGGGCGAAAAAATGGCAACTTCGTTTCAATGAGGAAAAGTGTGAAGCAATGCGAATAACGCATTCTCGTGACAAATCGACTACGAATTATAAACTAGGTACGGCCTTAAAAGATGTCAAGAGCTTTAAAGATCTTGGAATTATTATATCAGAAGATCTTACTTGGAGTGAATATATAAGTACTATGGTGAATAAGGCGAACCAAGTCCTAGGGCTAATAAGACGGTCGGTTGGAACAGCTAATACAACAACTTTTTCATTGCTTTACAAAACATTGGTCAGACCACTTTTAGAGTATGCTGCTCCAGTCTGGAACCCATATCTTGTCAAAGATATTCATGCAATAGAGAGCGTGCAAAGACGTCCGTCAAGATTAGCTCTTAGGCAAAAGAGGTGATATGTCTTATGAAGAGTGTTGTGACTTGTTACATTGGCCATCTTTGTCCAGTCGTAGGACATATTCCTCTCTTGTTGAATGTTATAAGATTTGGCTTATCACACTTGGATTTTGAGGAATTCTTTCAATTCGCAAAAGTCAAATCCACTAGGGCAAATCACTCGTATAAGCTTTATTGTAAATTATCTAGAATCAACTGTTTTAAATATTCTTCTTTTTTTAACAATGTAATTAGTTATTGGAACAATTTACCTAGTAATGTTGTTAAAGCCGGTACCCTTGAACTTTTTAAATGTAAACTCAAATCCTTTTTAAAGTTGTAATTTTTATTGTTTGTTTGTTGTTTTTAGGAGAGTTTTATTCATAGGGTTAACCTCTAGACTCTCCCTTTCAAATTCATGTAGTTATTATGAGTTTGAATAAACATGTATGTTATGTTAGGTCGCGGGTTCGATTCCCGGGGCCGGACAAATACTCAGGGTCTTAAAATAACTGAGAAATGAAGGTACTCCCTTTGCACTGCAGGCGGCTGGACCTTCACGTGGCTCGGATGACCACGTAAAATGGTGGTCCCGTCTCCATTAGGAGACGTAAAATATAATGTCCCCAATTAGCACTTTGATGCTCAATACATTGACACTCAAATAAAGTGCATTTTTTTTATTCATCTTTTATTTATCCTTTAAGAAACTTCAGCCTTAATGGAGAAAAATGATGGTGCATGGGTGCTGCAGTTATGGGGTGGCACATTGCTTTTTGAATGTGGTAGGTGAAGAACCGCTTGATGGACTTGCTACCACTAAAATATGTTTATTTATTTACAGTAACAAAATGACTAAAAATTAAAAGTCAACACATGTTAATGCACTTTTTGTTCACCTTTTGTTTAGTTTAAAAGTGACCAAAACTGCTCCGTGCCCATATTTAAATTAATATTAGTTCTGAGTTTATCCATAAACCTGCTTAGTGACTACGTGCCTTGTATAACCATAGAATAGGGTAGGGAAGGTTACTCTACCTTAACTTGTACCTAATAGTGTCTTAAATCAATAAATCACCTGTCCCACTGCCAAGGCGCCTGGGTAAAATATAATTATTATATTTTGGATCCAGGCCCCTTGGCAGTGGGGACGGGATTTATCAGGCTCATGCCAACAGATATTAACTTCAAAGACAGGTAAAAAAACCAGGGCTAAAAAAATTACACATACTCACATAAAAATGCAAATTATGTAATTTACCACTTCAGGCAAGCAAGCAATTTTTTAAGGCAGTATATGAATGATTAGAAATATCTTGTTCCTTTTTCATTAAGACTTGCAACAACGAAAACATATGACTAAAATTATTTTTTCTGTCCTGTTTCCATTGTTGCAAATACATCTGGTGACAGTGCCCCTTAAGGTTGGTTGTTCCAAAAAAAAAACATATTTTACTCTATTGATTTTTTATAAAATTATTTCATGTCTTCCTCTTCTTTCTCTGAAAAGGGAAAGCCTAGATTTTCAAGTACATTTTACATTTTATTTTATTGTGTTTTGAAGTAAGAGTACGATAACATGCCCGTGGGTAGCTATTAAAGCTAATCTAAGTTACCTCAAGGTTCAAAATGTTAGTTTAAGACGGTAAAACTTCTTTTTGGCAACTTGTTATCTTCACACTAGTACAGAGACCATGTCTGAGAGAGATATACAGTTCCCTGGTTTGTTTAATTTCTGAACTTTTCAAGCAAAAAAAGAAAATAATGCATTAACATTAAGAAAGGCCAACCTTTATTCCACTGCCATCTCGTCCATCACGGCCATCTTTTCCTGTGTTCAAAACAATAAACAAAATGTAATATTCAGATTACAGGGCTGATGCTCTAGCAGCAGCCAGTGGCCCCTGGCACCTTACTTACTGATCTTGGATGACTAGGACATCTTAGCTTTTTCAAAAAAATCCTACACTTGGTACCCTGGATTTCACAGGTACAGAGCACTGGACTCCCTTCAATTTTTCTTAGCGGAGCGCAGCCTTGGATTATTTAAAAGCTAGGGTAGAACACAGACAACAAGCTACGAGGGAAGGGTAAAGAAATGTTGCAAAAATATGTTACGACAATAAATGACAAGAGTGAGCACCATGGCTAAGATTTATTTTGAGAATGAAAGGAACATAAAATGTACATCACCATTCACTCCATCACGTCCATCTTTTCCTGCAAAAATCAAAAGCAACACTTCATTATACCAGTGGCCATGGTGGCTAATTATTTCTTAATCTATAATGCTGCATTAATGTCAATGGTGACAAGAACCCCATAAAGTGAAGGTTCATTGGGCTGCCGACTGCATGATGCAGTGGTCTATTATTTTGTGAAGTATACACCTGTAGATTATAAAATTTACACTTTATACCAGCTAATGAGTGTATAGCTACTGCTAACCCGGAGAATGGGATAGAGCAAGAAACGATTGGCATTATTTTCGACTGGGATATTTCTACATCTCATTCCCATCCCACTGCCACCGAAAATATAGCATGACAGTACTAACATATGACTTAATATTATACATTGTACTCACCATCTGTCTTCTCATTGGCTAAGAGCTTACAGCTAATTTTGGAAATCAGCGCGAGCTACAGAATAGTTAGTTATCTGCTAGCAGATAACTGACTAAATGCATGATTTCCAATAACAATATCAATTCAGGTTCCATGAGACAGTGTGTTTGACGTTACTTTCTTCAAAACAATGTATAATAAAACAATTATTATTGTATTAGAATCATTGGGTTTTTGTGATATCTTCAGTAATGAAGATCACAAAAGGTGTTATCGGCTGATAACACTTACCTTGACCTTGATTATTCTGGATATCACAAAAACCTCATCCAATAATTATTGTTTATAATCTGATCTAACAGGAAATTCCAAAAATTATTGATGTTCTATAGTTGTAAAATGTGACGTGTCAATTTTGGTGTTTGAAATACTTTTTCAACAGTAATTTTCTGTTTCTTAAAACTCTCAAAGCAAATAAGTTTCAGTTTTATTTCTGTCAGATATTGTATTTAAAGCCCTCCTAACAGTCCATCCAAGTGAATATGTTTTTATTTGACAGGGCAATCTACAAAAATTATAGCATATTTCTTTCTTTAGGAAAGACTTTTCACACACAGGGAGAGAATTGCAACAAAACAAAGCTTTTCCTGTAGGGACGGTGGGAGGGCATTGTTTCTACAGCTCCCACACAGGCTAACAACATCATCAAATACCGCATTTAGATAATCATTCACGGTGCAGATATAGGGCCAATAACTCCACACAATAATTTTGTGTTTGTCCACATCGACTTCTAAATCGGTTCGCCAAACGACCTGAAATGACACGTCCCTCCTCGCAAAAATTGGCCCCACTAAAGAGAGAATGGGACTTGCAAAGCTTTCTGGGAGTTCTGTCCGCCATTTTATCTTTTTTGACATAGAAAGAATTTGCTTATCATTTCTTGATTGGCCGTTGCCCTCATGGGCAGCCCAATAATAAGGGAAAATCACTGCATGTTAATGTATGACTCACCATCTTGTCCATCCTTTCCATCTTTGCCTATTGAAAAAATACAGCGGCAGTATTATTAATTTAAGCACAACTGAACTAATTTGATGAAACCACACAATCTGAATACAGCAGATCCAGCAAATTGTTACAATTGCAACTTGAACTGATCCCGCTAATGCAAATCCTTTAATGTACTTTGCTGGCCTTTGGCTCAATGTCTGGTAAATCTTAACCTACTAAGAAGATTTTTTTTTCGTTTTTGATAGCTGGTTTTTTTT